AACTTGATTAATTCAAACTGCTAGCGTGGACAGCTATCGCTATCACTAACTATGTTAGCAGCAGGTTAGCTCCATTACAATCCAACATACTGTACTTTGAGTATCTTAACCTATTAACGCCCTCAGTTCCAGAGAAAATAAGGCCTCTTGTCTTTATTTCAAGATTAAACAGCTGCACCTGACATCAATTCAAAATAAAGCAGCCCCAGTTACCCCAGTCTGCTAAACGCAAAGCAGTCACGGCTAACGAATGCTCAGCTAACACAAAGGGCTAAACTATATATAAGCTACAAATATGTTATTTATGTTGAGCATCTGTGCCCAAGATAACAGTCTTAGAGGATCTATGCTTATGTTATATTTCATGAACTGCCACCTTATTAGCTCCAACTAGTTAGCTTAGCTCATTTAAGATTACTTATTAAACATCAACACTGTATAACATTACATACATATTTAAATCACCACATTTCAAACGTACTTATGGTTATTAAAAAAGTACATATTTTTAGATGGAATATAGTGGAAAAATACATCCCTGATAAAGAAAATCCCCCTCCTGAGTGAATCTCTGTAGCTCTGGTGGAAGTGTGTGAATTTTGGAGTGAAAGTGTGACGCTGCTGTTCTAAATCATGATTCAATGGATACACAAACCCTTGAAGCTGAACTTAATTAAACTGAACTACCCATGATTCTGGTCTCTGCTCATCAGAAGCGCTTTTGACCAGGCAAGCTTTATTCAGATCCCAGAACAGACTAAAAGAGAGACAAATGATGAAGACAATCAAAGAGGCCTGAATTCATGACTCCATCAAATGGAGTATATATAAACCCTTGAAGCTTTTCAGGCACACATGAATTGTAAAATGAAACATGCAGACTAACCTACTTTCAAGTCCATCTAATCAGTGCAAGTGGCCCATAAGAAACTGAGCATTTGTCCAGTTCAGACAAAACTTCAACAGCCTCGAATGTTTCTGAAACTGCTGAAAAAAGAGGAAGGTGTGAATCAGAACTGGTCATTTAATATGTGAGAGGAAGAAAAAGTCGTAGTACTGTGGAAACTTTTTGCTGTACTTTTTAAATGCCAAATGCAAAGATAAATGTAAGGACAATGTTTACACATTTATATGATCAGTTTAAAACTGATTTAAACTAACCACCGTAGCTACCAGTGTAGCTTTTAATGTAAAACTAGATCACAAATTAGGGTAGAAGATTCAGTTCAGCACGGGCAACAGGCTACTGGTCTATTAGCTGCTTTATCATCATCAATCCCCCTAGAGACACAGTAAAATCCACCTTCTGCATCACCAGAACTCCAGTTTTCAGTTGTTTGATATGATTATAGAGTTCACTTCTACAGTATAGAGACAGTGACACTATCACCCTACAAAAAGACTGAGCATCAATATATGTTAAGCGCAAGAGCTTTATTACTTGGATATCGTACTGTAATGTTAATCCTTTGGTAGACGGCTCTAAAACTGATTTAAAGGTAGTTCTTATGTACTGATGAACATGTTATACCTTTCCCAGTCTCCCATTTAGCCCTCACAAAACAAACACTGCTCTTACTAAAGTCATGGGTTGGTCTAAAAACATTATAATATAAATGACGCATGATAAAATAATGGTGAATAATAAATAATGATGTCAAAGAATGTGGATCTGAATCAATGTTAAAAGTGTTATGAATACAGTAATGATCACTGTATTGGTGCAAAGTCAACAAAGTATCTTGAAGTACAGTCGTCACAAACCAAACCTGTTCTTATAAAGCAGCTTTAAGTCACTTATACAAAAACATGTCCCTCACAACAGCTTTAGTCAAGTACACAACATATAAAGAAGTAAGGTGATAACTTAGCCACATGTCCAGCATTTATGCAAATTTACATGCACTCCTACCAGATATGAGTACAGATATGCCAAGATCAACGTGATGAATAACAAAACCGTCCGTGAATTTGTGTGCGGTCATCTTACAGTCAGATGTGACCATAAGGATCTTTAATGAACCAAAGTGAGAAAAGTGAAGCAACTGAATATATGGAGGTGATGGAAAGTTAATTAACAGATAATTAGCGGGATTAACACGTAAGTGCTAGTAAGTTATCACCTTACTTCTTTATATGAAGAAAAATACTTATTAGTTAATTAACAATGTAATAAGCAGCAGTTAGTACACAGATAATGAGTAAGTAAGACATAAACTAACGACAAACTAACTTATCAACTAACAGTGTACTTAATTACTAATTAATAAGTGCTTTATCAATTACTAAGTAATAGCTAATGCTTAATGAAGAGTTAACTAATAACTAAATAATGGGAAACTAATAGTTGATTATTATGTATTTAATGATTGATTAGCGACCCTTAATGTAAAGTGTTACCAAATATCCAGCCAACAGCGTCCTGTGGGAAGCGTCCTGTGACCACTGATGAAGGACTAGAGGATGATTAGCTCATACTGTACAGCAAGAGATGTCATCTCTGGATAAGTTGTCTGAGCATGTAAAGATCAGAGCAGTTCACTGTGGAACTGTTTACTCTGCCAGATCATCACCCAGAATCTTTAATTAACCTGTAAAATGTGCAGATTCTTTATTTAACATAAAGATTTACACACCAACACAACATGCAGCGATTCAGCAGTGCTGATTGGATGTCATGAACTAAACCATAAAAAATAAACAGAGTGACAAAAAGCAAAAATAAGAAACATCTATGATTCTTCAATAATGCCTGAAATATTAAAGCAGTCAGTTTTATTGGATTAAAGTGGAGCAGATTTGCCGTTTTTACAGAGAGTTCAGGCAGTCACGTGTACATTTTCACTCTCTCTCTCTCTCTCTCTCTCTCTCTCTCTCTCTCTCTCTCTCTCTCTCTCTCTCTCACACACCACACTCACTCTCTCTCTCTCTCTTACACACACACACACACTCTCTCTCTCTCACACACACACACTCTGTCTCTCTCACACACACACACACTCTCTCTCTCACACACACACACACTCTCTCTCTCTTTCTCTCTCTCACTCACACTTACACACACACACACACACACTATTTGAGCCAAGACTTAAAACTTATATTAACATGGTTGATTTTGTCGCAGCGTCAAGACGAGAAAAAGATTGACTTAAGACGGCCATCCTAAACACCTCACACTAAACGATCGAGATGACGCAAGCGAGACGCGACTCTAACAAGACTCTCGTGATTGTAGTCCAGTGTTAATCCAGAACTGTTAAAGATTTTAATCAGCATCAAAACTAATCAAACCCATTTTCAGTACTGTCCTTATTCTCCACTGAGTGGAATCAGATTCAATAATTTACAGTTTTTATTCATCACTTTCAAAAATGACATCAAAAATATCACAGTGTGATAAATATAAGAGTGGCCACCTAAATATGAAATAAAGACATTCATAAAGACCTGATATTAATCATTTACTGTTTAATTATCTAACTGTAATGACCGTTGTTGACCGTTACTGACTGATCCACCTGAGTGATGCAGCAGGTCCAACACACGCAGGGCATTTGTTCATGCTTGAAACAGTTGCAGAGACTCGCTCATGTTTACAGTTCTGTTGGCAAAAACATCCTGATTTAATCAGACAATCTGTTCAAATCCAGACAATCATAGTTTAAAAAAGTCAGAAAATAAAATTATTTTGATCAGTGTAGTTGTAGTTGGTCTTTTTCGTTTGCCATCTGTAAATATATGATTATGAGAATCAATGTGGAAGTTTCAGAAAAAGACTAGAAATAAAAAACATCAGTTAATCTTGTTTTCATTCATAGTGAATGTTCTTCTTTAAATACCCTGCATCTCCATATTAATGCTCCTTATAGCAGATTTAGGGTTTTTCCTGCTACTGTGGTTCATTTTGGGCTAACAGGGTCATCATTGATCAAGTCCCCCGAGAGAGTCGTCTTCCAGAGCAGCATCAACACTGAACCATATAAATAAAGCATAACAGAACTTTCAGTTCTAGAACCACAAAAACAACAGAAAACCATTTAAAAATTAGCACATCAGCATCTCCTCACATATTACACTGACCAGACACTTCATTAAGGCCACCTCCTTGCTTCTACACTTAGTGTCCACTTTATCAGCTCGACTGACCACATAGTTTCACTCTGTAGTTCTACAGTTACAGACTGTAGTCCATCTGTTTCTCTGATACTTTGTTACCCTGAGTGCAGAAACGAGGAGGTGGTCTTAATGAAGTGGCTGTCCAGTGTCCAGCTAAATGAGAGAGTAATATCATTCATACCAAAAACCTTTCCACTGTAATGAAATTCAGACATGAACACTTTCAGGATATCATGATAGATTTTCTGTCTCCTTTCAGGTTCATGTTTAGTTATTAGTTCCTCTGTGATCCAAAAGAAAACCTCCCTTATCAGAGTGGACACAGCTGAATACTCCACAGTCTACGAGAGAAAACAGAGAACATGCAGACCAAATCAAACCATATTGACCTCAAACAAATAAACACATACAGCCAATTAAATATCAACATTAAATTACCTTTTTCTGGATTTATATTTTTCACACCAAACCCATCTTTGTCTTTATAAACAGGTGTAACATTTGCTGCCTCTTCTTCTGGATTCAGTTCTCTTTCTCAGCTCCATGGCAGCCATTTTCCATGATGACTCCACTCTTTATAGAAAAATAACAGTTTTATTTTGATCTTTTCATATATGAAATATTTTAGTCTCTTTATTTGATTGACTGTTGCTAAAAGGATATCAAGACAGTCTTATTTACAGCTAAAGTCTCACTTTTATTTCTGAACTAGCTGTGAGTTTCTGAATGTGACGACTAAACTAATCAAATCAAATTGAATCAGCTGAGAGGTCCTCGTAAACCACAAAAACCAACATGCTCACACACACACACACACACACACACACACACACACACACACACTCACACAGTGTCACTCTAATGTCTCTTCTTGTGTGCAGATTCCTGTGATCTCACTCTGGATCCAAACACAGTGAACAGTTATCTCTCTCTGTCTGACGGGAACAGAAAGGTGGAGTTTGTGGGATCTTCACAGTCGTATCCTGATCATCCAGAGAGATTTAATATGTGGCCTCAGGTTCTGTGTACAGAGAGTCTGACTGGACACTGTTACTGGGAGGCTGAGTGGAGCGGGATGGTTCATATAGCAGTAACATATAAATCAATCAGCAGGAAAGGAAACAGTCCTGACTGTCAGTTTGGAGGGAATGTAAAGTCCTGGAATCTGATCTGCTCTAATAACAGATACTCTGTCTGTCACAATAATAACAGCACTGATCTCTCTGCTCATCCCTCCAGCTCTGGGACAGTAGGAGTGTATCTGGACTGTCCGGCCGGCTCTCTGTCCTTCTACAGAGTCTCCACTGATAAACTGACCCATCTACACACTTTCAACACCACATTCACTGAACCGCTCTGCACTGGGTTTGGGGTCGGTTGCGACTCCTCAGTGTGTTTAAAATAAAATAACAGATGAGATAGAACACTTTACTCTGTCTCTCTCTCTCTCTCTCTCTCTCTCTCCCTGTCTCTGTCTCTCTCTCTGTCTCTCTTTCTCTCTCTCTCTCTCCCTGTCTCTGTCTCTCTCTCTGTCTCTCTCTCTCTCTGTCTCTCTGTCTCTCTCTGTCTCTCTCTCTCTCTCTCTGTCTCTATCTCTCTCTCCCTGTCTCTCTCTCTGTCTGTCTCTCTCTCTGTCTGTCTCTCTCTCTCTGTCTGTCTCTCTGTCTCTCTCTCTGTCTCTCTCTGTCTCTCTCTCTGTCTGTCTCTCCCTCTCTCTCTCTGTCTCTCTCTCTCTGTCTTTCTCTCTCTCTCTCACTCTGTCTCTCTCTCTCTCTCAAGTTGTCTCTCTCAAGCCAAAGCAGTTAATAAGAAACACATAAAAAATAAGAAAAAGATGATATAATAAATTATAATAGAACACTAAAAAATACGTTATTTACAGGGTTATTAGTAATCAAAAAAAAGAAAGAAAGGGAAAATAAAAGAGTCAAGACAAATTTCATAAATATATAATAATCAATAAAAATCAATATCAGTTTCTCACTGGTCGTCCCTCAGGTTGTGACAGGCGGTCACGTATCTGGCTGCGTGTGTGATCAGCTCGCTCTTCTCTCCCAACACGAACGGCAGTTTCTCAGAGTCACTGCAGAGCTGAAACTCAGGACAGACGCTGCTCACCCTCCCATAGAACTCCTTTCTAATGGAGTCGTATCTAGAGCACTCTGTGAGGAAATGCAGCTCCATCTCCACCACTGAGAGCTCACAGTGAGAGCACAGTCTGGCCTCTCTGGGTAACCAGATCTGTCTGCGCCGGCATGGTCAGCACTCTCCTCAGTTTTCTGCCTGTAATTGCTGTGAGGTACGGTGCTGAAGTATAATCTCGATTTAGGGCCGAATAGCACTGAAGCTTGTGCTGTTGATGTGTGGTCTCAGTCCAGTGGGTGATGTAGTTTTGTTTTTGTTTGGTGATAATCTGATTGGGTCTGATTTTCTGGGAGAGCGTGTGGTCAGGCTGATTGGTGTTAGTGATATCATTTGGTTGTAGGTCACTGAGACTCAGGACTAGCTGGCTCAGGGGACTCCTGTCGATGTTCAGCTCCTGACTGGCCAGTGCTTTATAGTGGAGTGACTGGGGGTCACTGGATTTTATGTGTTTCCAGAAATTTAGAGCTCTTTTTTGAATGTTTAATAGGAGTGGATACTGTCCTAATTCAGCCATGCACACAGTATTGGGTGCTTTTCTCTGCACATGGAGGATGTTTTTGCAGAATTCTGTGTGCAGGGCTTCAATAGGATGTTTGTCCCAATTTGTAAAATTGTTTTTTGTCAGGGGCCCCCATACCTCACTGCCATATAGTGCAATTGGTTCAATTACTGATTTGAAGATTTTTAGCCAGATTGTGATTGGTATTTCAAATTTGATTGATTTTTTAATAGCAAAAAGAGCTCTCCTCGCTCCCCCCCCCACCCCCTGAGTTCCTTCACAGCCAAGTCAAAACTTCCTGTGGAGCTAATAGTAATGCCCAAATAAGGGTATGTTTTAGATTGTTTGATGTTGGTGTTGTCAATTGTGTAAATATAATTCCCTTCATTTTTAGACCCCTTTGAAAAATTCCTATTTTGGTTTTTTGGTGGTTTATTTTCAAAGCCCAATTTTTACAGAAGTTGTCCAAGATTTCTAAATTTTGTTGAAGCCCCTCTCTGGTAGGTGACAGCAGGACGAGGTCATCTGCATAGAGGAGGTATTTAATTGTTGTGTCTCCCATAGAGAGGCCGGGTATTTCACTACATTGGTCGAGTTTTTCTGCCAGTTCATTGATGTATATGTTAAACAGTGTGGGGCTCAGGCTGCAGCCCTGTCTCACTCCTCGCGACTGTGGAAAGAACCCAGTTCTGATTGTTCCAATCTTCACTGCACATTTACTGTGAGAATACATTGATTTAATCACATCATACATTTTCCCCCCACCCCACTTTCAATAAATTTATAAAATAGTCCATTATGCCAGATTGAGTCAAAAGCTTTTTGAAAGTCTACGAAACACGCAAAGATTTTGCCCTTATTTTGGTTTACGTATTTATCAATTAGTGTGTGAAGAGTGAAAATGTGGTCAGATGTTCGATGATTTGGTAAGAAGCCAATTTGGTTTTGGCTTAGAACATTATGTTCTCTTAGAAAGTTTGTTATCCGATTGTTGAGGATGCTGCAGAAGACCTTTCCCAGGTTACTGTTCACGCAAATTCCTCTGTAATTGTTTGGGTCAAATTTGTCTCCAGATTTAAATATGGGGGTGATGAGCCCCTCATTCCAGACTGTGGGGAAATGGCCTACATTTAAAATAAGATTGAAAAGTTTTAGAATAGCCAATTTGAATTTAGGGTCTGTGTTTTTTAGCATTTCATTTAAAATGCCATCTGTACCACAGGCTTTTCTGGGTTGGAGGCCTCTGAGTTTTTCCTCTAATTCTTCTATTGTGATGTAGAAGTCCAGTGGATTTTGATAATCCTTAATTGTTCTATCAAGAATTTCTAATTTTCCAGATATTTTTTGTTGCTCTATATTTATCGATGGTGTTCTGTATAATTTTTCAAAATGGTTTCTTCATATATCCCCATTGCTAATTGCTATATCATCTTGTTTTTTTCTGTTTAGCGATTTCCAGTGGTCCCAGAATTAATTGGAGTTGAGTGATTTCTCTAAGTCTCTAATTCACTAATTTATTTGATTTTGCATGTATTTGTGTTTTTTTGTTTTCAGTATACATTTATATTCTTTAAGTATCTCACAGTATTTTGTGGTTCTCTGTGTTTCTGATTGGATACATTTCTAACTTCTTGCTTCTTTTTTTTGCAGTCCTGATCAAACTATTTGTTTGACTGAGAGCTCTTTGATTTGTTTTTCTGAGCAGTCAGATTTATAACTTGTGTGGCATGATCAAAAATTCTGTTGAGGTTTTCCACAGCCACGTCGACTCCCTCTCTATTTTGGGGGTAGATGTTTGACAGGAAGGAGTCAAGAAGTGTCTGGATATCTTGGCTGCTGATGGCGTGGAGATATTTTTCGGTGCTGTCCTGAGCCCACCTGAGGGGAGGTCTGAGTTTGTATATTTGGATAGGTTTTTGCCGATTATCATTTGTAGCTGTTCTTTTCAGGTATATAGTGATTTGGCTGTGGTGGGGGACAACCAGTGTGGGGGACAACCAGTGGGCTCGTCTCCTCTACACCATGTTTCCTGCAAAATTAATATATCAACATTTCCTACTTCCTTCAAACTATCAGGGTTTCTACTTTTTAAACCAAATAAAGAAGACTTTAAACCTTGAATATTCCATACAGAAATGCGAAAAAAAGGTCATTCTGTACAAGCTGAAGTGTGTTGCTATTCATGTTTTTGAAATGAGAAAAATAATTGCAAATAAATAAAATAAAGTTATAATGAATCTTTGAAAATAGAATTTGATGTCTTACTCACTGAACTTAAATTGAGTTATATACAATGTTGTTTTTTTTGTTTTTTTGTTTTTTTTTTTTAAACTAACATTAACTGTTAATGTACTTTACCTTTATGGTAATGTGATTCTTATCACAGACCATGTCCCATTAGACAAGTGCAGATTTGGCTGAGCATCTGCTGTATGTCTCTGAGCTCAGAGTTATTAGGGTTTGCTGGTCCACTGACAGCCTGAGCGTAGGTCAGTACTCCTGGCCTGGTCTGGAGTTGTTGGGAAGGTGGAGCTGGGCCCTGGGGCAGTGGTGCAGTGTGTGTTCCTGCCATAGGTGCTGGTGCTGGCGGGAGGCTGTGGTTGTTACGGTGCCTCGTCTGCCTAGCTGACTGTTCTGGATAGTGAGGGGCGTGGTGTCGAGGTCTCAGATGGAGGGCTTGTGGAATTGCTCCATCTGCAGGTCTTGGGGTGCATCTCGATGGCCGTGTGTTTGGGTTTCGTCCAGCTTTGCACTGGAGTGTGGTGACATTGCGAGTCAGTGTGAGGTCTTTCAATGTTTTAGCAAACACAGGAACTAACTCTTTGAATAGGTGGACTTGGTCATAGAGGCAGGCTGTATCCAGAGTCGGGTGGTGTGCGAGGTGGGTGTTTGGTCTGAGGGCACACTCTCTGGAGATGCTGGCATTGATTTTCTGAATTGTGTATGGATGAAAGTCTTTGCGGGGCAGCAGGGTGGAGATGATGATCTTCGTATTAGGGAAGGTGTTGCTGGCCTTCTCTATCACTGCCCTCAGGGATATGGCCACTCTGTCTTGCTGAGCTCTGAGGTCATTTGTCCCTGTGTGTATTATGATGTGGCTTGGTGACCCCAGTGTTGCCTCTGTGAGTAATTCCAGTGCTTTTCGTGTAGAAGGGCACCAGAGTTTAGCCACTCTGTGTGTGGGGAAGAGTTTTTTTCTCATCGATAAATTTACCATTGGAGTCTATTAGAAGTGCAATGTCCAGCTGGTCTGTGGTTCTTCTTTCTGCTCTGTTTGTGTCTTGGACACTGGGCTCTAGATGTGCTTGTTGGCTGGGAGGAGACTGCTGTGAGCTTGTGGGGGTAGAAGGTGGAGGAGGCTTCTGTGAGCTGGTGGAGGTTGAGGTTGAAGATGGAGGCTGAAGCTGGGGGGATGGGTTAGTCTGGGTGGAGGTATCTGCTGTTAGAGGACTCTGTTGCTGATTGGAGGAGAGTAGCTGTTCTCTCAGACTCTGCACTGTGCTGTCTCTCTGTCTCAGCTCCTCTCTCAGTGCAGCCATCTCCTTCCTGTAGCTGTCCCTGTCCTTCTCCCTGTCCTTCTGTAGTTCTCTGACCTGCTCTTTCAGTTCAGCCAGCTCTTTTCTGTAGGTGTCTCTCTCGTGCTTCAGCTCTTTCTTCTGCTCCTGTTTGAGGACCATCTCCCGAAGGTGTACAAGCTCTACCTCCAGTCGTGTGAAGTGTTCTTTTATCAGGGTAATGGAGGTATAGAGTGAAGGGTCTTGGTCCTGCTCAATGTCCTTCTCCTGAGCTGAGGGCTCTGCTGCGCTGCTGTGTGTTGAGGCACATTCAGTGTCTTCCCCCTGT